AAGAGCTGCCAGAGGAAGAGCAGGCACAGAGATGGGAGAGAACTAGAGGCACAAGAAGTCAGGTGATGCGATTTCAAGAAGTTGTCCAATGGGTTCCAAACTGTTGAGTAGGCGTTATCTCCAGGGAAAGATGAATTCATGGCTGATGAAGGACTTAGAAAGAGTGTTCTCGTACATTTAATAGAAATGGACAGCAAACTTGGAGGGCAACTTAGCAGTGTCTGTTAAAATGCAATCACATACTGTGGAGTCCACCTTTTCCATTTCAGTTTCTTCCTTATAAAAGAGAAAAAAACAGATATGTTCAAGGAGGCATGCTGTGAATGTTTCCTACAACATTTTTGGTGACAGTGAAAAATTGGAAACAAACAGAAAAAGGAATGGCTAAATAAATTACAACATTCATCGTGTGAAATACAATGCAGCACTGAACAATAACACAGCCGTTCCATGTATGTTGTTGACAGGACTGGGGCACCATGATACAATGGTGAGAGAATAGAGCATATTCCTGAATGCCAGGTACACTGCCACTGAAAAAGGCAGGGAGAGAGAGAGAGAGAAAGATGTAGGAGTGATCTAAAACCTTTTGTCCTTTTCTATAATTTTTAAGGTTCTTTTTAAAAAAAATAATGTGCCTGTATTACATTTACAATCCAAGAAATTTTAGAGTTTAAAATATATATCATTTCTTAGCAGCAATAATATTTTAAAGAAACAAGAGAGGAGACGGGTCAGAGACGGGTTGGGGAACACCAGATTATTCACTGAATGTGCTGATGGCGTCTTGACCCCAGAGAGGGCAGGCTTTGGAGTGGGTGGGCTAAAGGCTTCCCTGTAGGAGGTAAAGGAAAGGGTGGAGAGGACACAGCAAGAGCGAAGGCAGTAGTGGCTCTTGCTACAGTAGGGGAGGGGAAGGAGTATTTTGAGAAGATCAAGGGAAGCATTATTATGGTTGAAGAAGACTTGAGGATTGCAAGGTATCAGCAGGTGGTTGATTTATAAAGTAAGCTCTGTATGCCTACGAATGATAGCTGACGTAATATGGGCAGCCAGCATTTACTGAGGGCAACAGGAGCCAAGGTATTAACAGCAGCAAAGCAGGAAGCATCTGCTCTCCCCTACATACCCCTCCCCCACACACTTTAGACCCAAAACCAACATCACAGCAAGCAGACAAGTCAAGAGTGGTACATTTGTAGGCCCTCATCTGTAAAATCTGCATCTGAATTCTGTGTATTTCTTTTAAAATCATAGCTCTTTATTGTTTCCCAAAGCCCTGCTGGCTTTGGAAATATGCCTGATCTTTTCTGAACTTACCACGCCTTAAGCAATCTGAAAATTTTTGTTCTTTCTTCATTATCCATGAATTATAATAGCTCAGCAAAAATGTCTCTTCTATGGCCTCAATATTGATGAAGCCAAACTAATGCTTAACAAAAAGTTCTAAGTAATTTCCCTGGCCATGTGGGACTGCCAAATGACCCACTCGAAGGAATTGGAAGGAATTGAAAGGAATTGAAAACAACCCTTAAAAATAGAATCCACCCTTATTTAGCTGAGACATGCTGTGTGGCATTCTCCTGTCCCTAGCTACACATTAGTTGCCCTCATTAGTGGGCATGGGCACTGCCCCTATGCTGAGTAGAGGAAGGAGAGAAGTCTGTCTGTACACCTTGACTTCCTGACCAGAGGCATTTAAATCACTCACAGATGGTACACAATTCCACCAGCACAGGAAAGGAAGGAGTCCTGTCCATATCCCTTTAGTTTATCTAGATTCCCCTTGAAGAATGAGGTGCCACTTCAAATAGGTGAGTGTTCCACGGGTAGCCTTACAGCTTCTGGTTGATTGATGCTGGAGTTTAGCCACTGCCTTTGCACAGACTTTGTTTCATAGAGTATGTTTATCTGACCTTTCTTTGAATAGACAACTCCACAGCAGCTCATAGGAAGAAATGGGTCCTCCACAGTAGAGAGGTGACATTTGGATGAGCTGTAGGAATCCTGGGGCATCTTGCCTTTGATCCCTTAAGACTGCACTGGCCACCCTACAGCTGGCTCAACACATCCTGGGCTGATGGGAAGGGAATGTCCTCTGGTTAAATATATGATGGGAAGGGAATGTCCTTTGGTTAAATATACGCTGAGGTGGTTTATCATAGCTTTAATAAAAATCAGACTTAGGTGACTTGAGGCCAAAAAGAGTCATGGTCAGTGCCCAGCACCATTCTGAGTTTGCTTGTTCAATGAACCTGTATCAGTACCAGGTACCTGGAGGAGGGCAGATGGGGATTGTAGTCCCCATTAGTTTGGCTTCATCAATACTGAGGCCATAGAAGAGACATTTTTGCTGAGCTATTATAATTCATGGCTAATGAAGACACATGCCCTTAAAGACCACAAGAGCTTGTGCTTTTGCAACCCTCTAGAAGGTAGAGTGGGGAGCAGTACCATCTCTCAAGAGAATTTCTTTCTATTGAGCTTAATTTGCTCACATAGATGGTGGACCCCCATTATTTGGCACTCCCAACTCCATACGGTGGGTTATTCAGTGGATCAGATCCTATTTCTGAACTATGTCATGCCATGTACGAGTGATGCTGTTCTCATAAAACAAACTTCAAACCCAGAGGCAACACGAGGCTCAGGCAGCCAGACCCTGCAGTGGGGACCATGGACAGGGTGCTGGCCTCCTGAGGTCTGCTCCCGTAGGCTGCTCCTCGCCTACTAGAGGTAGCCCTGCGCCCTTTTTCTCTCCAGAATCCCTCAGGCCTTAGTGAGTCGACATTGGTTGTTAACAGGAGAATGGCAGCATCTTGCCCCCAAAGGCAGGGGTATGAGGCAGGAATGGGGAAGTTGTTTTGTTCCTGATTTCTTCCTGTTAAATGGAAGGAATGTAAACTGAACAAATTAAATTCAGACAAATGCAGTATCCCCTTCCTGAGGGAACGCTACTGAGGGAGTTTGGGGTCCCAGAAACCTCTGCCAGTAGACTGACTTTATGTCTCCCCAGATGATCAGCCGCCATTCTAGACCAGCTGGATGGCTTCATTTAAATAAGTCCTGGTCTAAGCTGAATGCCTCCTTCTAAGATGTTTAAGAACAAGACACTTAAACAGCAGATACAATATCATAAATATGCCAACGCAAAAGATGTGGGCATTCTTCAGAGAGACATTAGCTGACGCAGGTCAATTAGGGCCGCCACTGGGTGCCCAGGGAGTGCTACCTTGTTAATGGAGATCCTTGCTGAGTCTCTCTGAAGTTCCTTTCCAGAAGTGAAATTTAAATCACGCAATTAAAATGTTCACAGTTGGTGCTGGATGTTCTTGAACTGATTGAAAGATGAAGAAGTGGACACACCAACATCTTGAAACAGCAATTGTCTCTGTAATTAAATACAATTAACAGACATAACTGTCTGCTTTTCTCCACATAAGACTGATTGAAATGCTGAAAAAAAAGCCCCCCACCTGATTTCTCTTGGCAATCAGCACATCTACTCTAACCTTGATGTTATTGGGTGAACATATACAGAAAATTGGGGTGAAAACATGTTGGAGAAAATAGAGCTCTAGGCTGTCCAATGCACATCGTTTTTCTAGACCACGTACCCTTCCATTTCCACAATAGAGACTAAATCTAACAATTTTTCTGTGACTAATCTCTGGAAAAGGGCCATTCAATATGATAACCAAAATGTAAATTCCAAATGTGAGAATAAAAGGTTAGTTCATTAGCTTTTTTAAAAAAAGGTTTCTCCCTGATTATTATAAGTAATCTGGAAAATACTGAAAAAAGAAAGAAGAAAGGTTTCACTGAGCATGGTGACTCACGCTTGTAATCCATACACTTTGGGATGCCAAGGCAGGAAGGAGGATTGCTTGAGCTCAGAAGTTCGATCCCAGCCTAGGCAACATAGTGAGACCTCATCTCTACAAAAAAATCAAAAAATTAGCCAGGCATGGTGGCATGTATCTGTAGTCCCAGTTATGTGGGAGACTGAGGCAGAAGGATCACCTGAGTCCAGGAGGTTGAGGCTGCAATGAGCTGTGATCAGCGTGATTATGCCACTGCACTCCAGCCTGGGTGACAGAGTGAGACCCCAACTTAAAAAAAAAAAAAAAATCACATAATCTCACCACAGAGAGATAATCATTGGGTATTTCTTCTTCCTTAAATACATATTTGAATAATATTGCATATATAGTTTAATATATATAAAATATATAAATACATAAAATATATAATATATAAATATAAAGAGTAAATTAAATATATATGTTAATATATTATACATACTTGTATCCTGATTTTTTTGCTTATATTACAAGTTTTTTTATTAGAAAGTTTATAAACTTTTTTAAATGTCCAAATAAAATCTCATCATATGGCTGTACCACTGTTTACTTGACCATTTTCTTATTATTGGACATGTAACTTATTCACAGTATTTTGCTGTTATAATAATGCAGAAAAAACATATTGCTGCAAAAATCTGCCAGTATTTCTGATTTTTTTTCCTTAGGAAGCTTTCTTTTAAGTGCAATTTCCTGGAACAAAGATTAGAATCGGTTTTGAGACTTGTGGTATGTACTGCCAAACTGCCCTTCAGAAAGGTGGCCAAATATGTATTTCCATCCACAGGGTAAGAAGTTGCCTGATGCCCATGTCCTCTCTATCACGGAGTACTGTCTCTATAAGATTAAGCTTCTGGAAAGCCCAATAGCCCCTTCTTAGAGAAACTCATTGTTTAACAGATTGTCTGGGTCTGGGGCAAATCAAAACCGAAGACTGAATTGCTTAGACCTCTGGCTGTGCTTCCCTGCGAACGTGAGAGTACCTGAGGCCAGCATTAGGTAAGTGCCTACCAGGGTGACTGAGCTATATCATTCAGTAACTAGAGAGGTAGACAAGCTGCTATTGTCCATGAGGACATTTACATATCAGGTCAATCTGGAATCTGACCCCATGTCACCTAACTCTGTATGTTTCAGCTGTGTTGGCCAAAGATGGACACCAGGTCATCCTAGAAAAGATAGAAGACTGGAACTTGGTAGAACTCATGGTGAATGAGGAAGTCATCTTCCGCTGCAACATTAAGGACTTGGAGTTTGGTAAGCTCTTTAGCAAGGTTTCCAGCCAGCATTTTGCCTCCTCTGAGGAGTCCCTCAATTTCTATTTGAAATGGTCAGTATGCTGTGCCTAGATTTGGGCTTCTTTCTTTCTGAGTTTTAAATTCATACTAAAAGTCCTATACCCTGTGCCACATACAAGAGAGCATCCCAAACCACACACAGTAAAGTGCTGGAGAATTAGCTCCTTCCCAAAACACTGGAAACTGAATAAGAAGGAAAATGAAGTTAAGCCTTGGACTTCTAGTGATATGATGGAATTTAAAGATAATTGGGTTTTTTTGCACTTTAATAGTGTGTGTTTTATTTTGCTTTCAGAGCAATTTTTGTTTCATTTGTTTATTCTATCTAGACTTGATAAGACAGTTAGAGTCAATATACCAGCAGGGCATGTCATAATCAGCAACGTTCTAGGGATTTCTTTGCCCAGAGAGCTCTGGCCTGGCAGGCTGTCTCCCTGTACTCAAATGTAAAAGCTTTTGCAATCTACTGATACTCTATTAAAGGCTAGTTAACATTTTACATACCTGTGGCCTTGGGAAATACACTCCAGGTAGAAGCCATATGTATGACTACTGTGACAACAAAGTGTATATAAAGCTGGTAAAAATTAAATTATATCTATTTCCCTAGGAGGTGATGGTAAGCTAGACCCACTGTGTGAAAAGGCCAGGACTGCCGTGCTGAATGCCTACTGAGCTGCTCGCAGAATAGCAGTTGCCCAGCCATTCTGTGATACAGGCAGAAATGGCCATGCTGGGGTGTAGACACTGGTTTCTTCCAATCAGAACAGGAAACCGCCAGCCTGTCCTTCAGTTTACATAGCATCAGGTTTCTCACCTGGCTATATAGGGGCCTACAAAAATAATAAAATCACATCATTTGTAGCATCTTTCACTCTCAACCCATAGGGATAACCCTCAAATATCAGGTACACATCAAGCTGAAGGAAATAATAAAATACAATCAAATAACAAGGCACCATCCCTTACTAATAATTCATAGTTGCCAGAAGCATCCGAGATTCTACTTTGTAGTAGCAGAGAGCAAGGAACAGGTGAAATTAAAGACGGGCAGAGTCCTTTGAAAGTCTGAACCAAAAATTAATGTCAATATTTGGAAACCTAGCTATTCCTACAGATTTATTTCTAACTCCTGATGGAATAAATATTTTAAATTGCTAATATAAAACTAGCTGAAATCAAATCTTCAGTTGCTTTCATCAAAACAAGAGCTGCCTTCTTTTGCATTAGAGCATCCTCTAGGATTCTCTAAGGAGGGCACGAAAGAGTCCTGGACAGAACATGGAATGGCTCCCAGTCCCCTTGAAGGAGAACACAACCCCGCAGAGTTAAAGAGGGTTTTAGCTACCATCAGTGTAAAAATCAGTCATGTCAAAATTATGTGTTTTTTACTTCCAGGTCCTATGCACCAAACTGCAGTACTTATTCTTTTTTTTTAATTTTTAATTTTAAACATGTGGGGTACAATTCAGGCTTAGGTATACAAATGTTGATTATACAGCTACCCTTGTTGATAAGGTGTGCCCTTCCCTTCCCTGGCAGTTTCCCTCAACTGCCAATCCCACCCGCCTTCCCCTGGCAGTGTCCCACTACTGCCAATCCCTTTCTTATAGTATTACAATAGTCATTCAAAGTCTGCTTATGAGTGAGAACATGTGATACTTGGTTCTTTGTTTCCATGCTAGAACACTCAGTATTAGCGCCTCTAAATCCAACCAAGTTGCTGTGAAGTTCATAGTTTTGTCCTTCTTTATGGCTGTGTAATATTCCATCATGTATACCACATTTTTAAAAATCCAGTGCTCTTTCGATGGGCAGCACAGTCAGTTCCATGTTTTTGCTACTGTGAATAATGCTGCAATAAACATGTGTGTGCAGGTATTTTTTTCATAGAGTGATTTGAGTTCTTCCAGGTATATTCCCTGTAGGGGGATTGCAGGGTCATATGGGAGGTCATATTCTTAACTACAGAGTAAAGTAAAATGAGAAATGCTGATATTTATCTAATGACATTAAACATGAGATCACTTCTCAAAAGAAGATATACAGGCAACCAACAGACACATGAAAAAGTGCTCAGCCTCACTAATCATCAGAGAAATGCAAATCAAAACCACATTGAGATACCACCTAACCCCAATAGAAATGGGCATTATTAGTAAAACAAAAAATAACAGATGCTGGCGAGGATGCAGAGAAAAGGGAACAAACACTTCTACACTTCTGGTGGGAATGCAAACTAGTTCAACATCTATGGAAAACAGTGTTGCAATTTCCAAAATAACTAGAAATTGACCTTCCATATGACCCAGCAATCCTCCTACTGGGAATATATGCAGAGGACCTCAAATCATTCTACAAAAAAGATACCTGCACATGCATTTTTATTGCAGCACTATTTACAATAGAAAAAACATAGAACCAACCACACTGCCCATTGAAACAGGACTGGATTTTTTAAAATGTGATACATTTACACAGCCATAATGAGGACAACATATGGATTTCACAGCAACTTGGATGGATTTAGAGTCTATAATACTCAGTTATCTACCACAGAAACAAAGAACAGAGTACCACATGTTTTCACACACAAGTGAACCCTGAACATTTACCATAATACTATAAGAAAGGAATTGGCGGGATACTGTCAGCGGGGAGGGGAGGATACAACATCCATAAGGGTACCTGATCTCAGCCCAGGCAAAGTGGGGCCCAAAGGGAGACCCAAACTTTACCTGTATGATGTCCACTTGTATACCTAATCCTGAATTGTACCGCACATCTTTAAAATAAAATTTTTAAAAAATAATAAAAATAAATAAATAAACATGAAGTTATGGTAAGAAAGTCTCACATCCTATAGAAGAAAGCCAGGTTCTTTAACAGAAGACTCTGGCCCTGGGCACCCTGTTAAAAACACAGGGATTTCGGAGCCTTCAGAGTCACAGGCTGGTTCTGAGAAACCCCAAGTCTCACTCCACCTGGGAGCAATCCTATTACCCCAGGCAGCCTCAAACCCTCCTGCACCCCAGAACTTCAAAGGCCACCCAAACTTGATGAAACCACTTGCACAAGTTCTTTCTCATGTGTAATAAAATAGAGGATATAATTTTAAAACCCTAGCCCAAAAGCTTCACTTGATGGAGTTGATTCAGAGATTCCAAGCCACTTAGAATGCTTCAGAAATGTTTATTCCTCTCCTTACTTAGAAACTAAGGTTCAACAAAATTCTTTTTTTCCCAGTTTCTGGTACTGGTTTTCACATGTATTTGGTAACCGCAGATTTAGTCTCTTTTTGTCAAAGACCATCTTAAGCTACTATAGATGTAGCATTTCATCTTTGTTTCAATATAAACATTTTATTACAAGAGAAATCCATTTTTATTCAAGAAAAATGGAAACATATAGATAATGATAAAGTACAAATTTATAACATTTTGATGTATTTCAATTTGGGCTTTTTCTATTTAAAATGTCTGAATAGCAAATGGTACTGGGAAAACCTACTGATCACATGCAGAAGATTAAAACGAGACCCCTACCTATCGCTATACACAAAAATCTATCCTCTAAATGGATAAAAGATCTAAATCTAAAACCTCAAACAATAAGAACCTTAGAAAATGCAGGAGACATCCTTGTGAAAATGGAACTGGCAATCAATTCCTGATGAAAACCCCAAGTGCCCATGCCATAAGAGATAAGATAGATAAGTAGGACCCATCAAATTGACAAGCTTCTGCAAAGCCAAGGAAGCCATAAAGAGAACAGGGAGACAGCCCACGGACTATGAAAAAATATTTGCCAACTGTATATCTGACAAAGGCCTAATATCTAGGATCTACAAAGAACTCAAATGTGCTGAGTGTAATCTCACACAGATTCTAAGAAAAAAACAAACAGCCCATTACAAAGTGGGAAAAAGATATGAATAGACACTTCTCAAAAGAAGACATACGAGCAGCCAATAGATACGTGAAAAAATACTCAGCCTCACTAGTCATCAAAGAAATGCAAATTAAAACTACACTGATATTCCACCTAACTCCAGTTAGGATGACCATCATTAATAACTCAAAAAACAACAGATGCTGGAGAGGATGCAGGGAAAAAGGAACCCCTCTACACTGTTGGTGGGAGTGTAAACTAGTACAGCCTCTGTGGAAAACAGTGTGGCTATTCCTCAAAGATCTAAAAATTGACCTTCTATATGACCCCACAAATCCCCTACTGGGAATATCCCCAGAAGAACTCAAATCACTCTATGAAAAAGATATCTACTCACGTATGTTTATCACAGCATTGTTCACAGTAGCAAGAACATGGAACCAACTGTGCTGCCCATCAAAAGAGGACTGGATTTTTTTAAATGTGGTACATATACACGTTGGAATATTATGCAGTCATAAAGCAGGACAAAATCATGAACTTCACAGCAACTTGGATGGACTTAGAGTCTATAATATTGAGTGATATAGCACAGAAACTAATAACTGAGTATCACATGTTCTCACTCACAAATGGACCTTGAACAATTATCATAATACTATAAGAAAAGGATTAGTAGTAACAGGGAACTGCCGGGGGGCGGGGGGTAGAGGTGGGATTGTCAGTAGTGGGGATCTGCCAGGGGAGGGGGGCACACCGCATCAGCAAGCGTACCTCCATAATGAACATTTGTATACCTAACCCCGAATTGTACCCCACATTTTTAAAATAAAAAAATTAAAAGAGAAAAATAAATAAGTAAATAATTTTTAAAATTTAAAAATAAAACAAAACAAAATAAAATGTCTGAATATTCATGAAAAGATAGAAATTGACTTCAAACATTTTGAATTACACTGCCTGTATGCAATTTTGTGTATTTTTTAACTTAATATTCCTGTGTGACTAAAGCTTTTGCTGACTCTCTGAGCCTTCTGTCCTGAATCAGAAAATTTCTCCCTTTTTGAGCAGTGATTCCTACTTCACTGCCAAAACTGTTTCTGTTACGAAATGAAATTGCCAGCTTGCCCTGCATTTGGTATGGTAGTATCAGCTCCAAGGACTGTGGAATCCCAGCTCCTCGGGCTCTGCATCCCTGACATTGAACTTGGTGCCAAGCACTCCCCTTGGCAGCCCCCTCGCCCTTCTCTGGCATCCTCCCCCAGCCCAGGCCGTATTTGTGCCTTCAGAGCATTCCCACATAGAACCTGCCTTCCTTCCCTCCATGACCAGAGCTGAAGGGCAGGTGAAGTGAGATTACACACAGATTCTAAGAAAAACCCGAGATGCCTGTGCCCAGAATTCTGAGTTCTAATTTATATCAAAGGCAAATGATGTATGAATCAGCATTCCTGGGGAAATTCACTGGGGTTACATTCAGGCGGTGGGATTGGAGAGGAGGGCAGAGTGGGGTAGAGCAAGGAGGGCTACAGGACTATCCTGTCTTTCACACTGGGAAATTTTCAATGGTGGAATTTTTACTTTGTGTATGAGTACATCAGGAGAACTTTTCAAATAAACATTAAAAATAAAATCAGCCGGGCTCGGTGGCTCAGCCTGTAATCCCGCACCTTTGGAAGGCTGAGGTGAGTGGATTGCCTGAGCACGCAGGTTTGAGACCCGCCTGGGCAGCGAGACCTCCATCTCTACAATAAATCAAAAAATCATCCGGGCGTGGTAGCACA